CCCGCTCTTTACGAAGCCCCGAGACGGCAAGGAGTTAGCGCGCGCATTCCGGTTAGCGGTCCACCGAACGCATCGCCGTTACTGCTTCTTCAGCTACTGCCGTTGTTGCCCTCATGTCTGTCGCCGTCGTCTCACCATGAATGTCGGTCAACCCTTACTTTCTCAATATAGAAGAGGATAGACCTAGCTGGTTGCATACATAAATCTATGCAATTGATGCCGGGCAATCGATAATTAGATAAGATTAGATTAAAATTTTAGCGATGAATTGACTCTCTTGAACTAACTGGCGAAAAAAATGGATCTCGATTTTTACAGAGATGCAACGAGACGGTGCCCCGCGTAACATAATTATTCTTTTTTTCTTAATATTTAAAGTAATACATTTAAATCACTATTTTCATTACGAACAAATCAGATGTCATCTCCTATTGCGAAATTAATGGATTCATATGATTTATTTCGCAACGCTTTTTGCAAACGCGTCTAATATGTTACTATGCGAATTTACACTGCGAACACTGCCGAGATACAATATACACGAGTATATGTGAACCGGATCCGAATGAGCTCGCATGTATACGCATGTATTACGGATGCGAATTTATATGTATGTACGTATACAACGGACAAGACAGAATTTCCGTGAATCACTGATTGCGTGTATATACGGCGCCATTCGAAATTGTGTCAGATGTTTTTGCACGCTATTTGCTATTCGCAGGAATTTTAGGAAAGAAAATGTCTTTCCAAAATAAATTAGTAGCAGATTGTATGCGTAGATTATTTTATCATTTTGAGAGATCTACATTATAATATATTTCATTTTATACGCGACACATAATTTGACTTTTATTGTATTATACATGTTTGCACATTGTGAATTAGATGAAAGAGTATAGCCTATTATCGAGAATACAAGAAATAGATGAATTAAAATATAATAATCTTTTGAAACAACAGCATTAATGTTATATAGGCCAGAATTTTCATTTCTGGGATGAACTGCACTTACCTGCATACCAGCCTCGCCAAATTCACGGTTCGAACGGCAGGCATTCTTTTCGAAATTTGCATCGAAATAAGTCGCCGAACGTCCGTTTGCCCTCTCCGCCCATCGTTGGCGAGCAAAAGGAGTACGCTAACGGTTTTCGAACAGGTGTCATCTCTTTTTTCCGCGCTTCATGAAATATTCACCAGGCATACGATTACGTTAGTACTGGCAGCACTAATCCATCCGTCGACGACGTCGGAGTATTCAACTTCACCGCATATACGTCTTGAAATCGCGCCCGACATAACTTTGCATTCGTTTGCCAATGTAATTCCTTAGCGAATTAACATTACTGTGTCGCAACTTCGCCTATTTGTACCGGCGAGATACCGGTATGTGCCGTGGGAATAACGATCGTTTATATTTCCCCGACAATACCAGGAGCTATCAATCATTTAAAATGCTTTAAATGAATGCTTAATCCAAAGAGACTCTCTCGTAAGAATTATGATTCTCTTGAATTAAAAGCTCAATAATTCTCTATAAGGATAATACATAAATATGGTATTTTAAATTGTTTATATATATTTTACTGATTAAAGACAGAGATACTCATTAAATATAATATAATATGTACTTTAATACAAACAAAAGAGATATTTTTATTCTTATTTGTTTTTCATTAGCATTTTTTTTAAATGCTCTTATATTTTATCAAAACAATGTATAATATTGAACATTGAACTCTTCTTTTGTTTTTATTTTAAAAAATCTTTTAGATTCATAATTAAAATATTATAACTTAAGTTAGCTTTATTTATATATGTATATATATATATATATAATATACGCAAACACACACTAACATTATAATAATATAATGTTATAATAACATTCTAAATAAAACCGTTAAAAAACCAATGAATATAAAAATGAAATTCAATTTTTCTTTATCGGCTTTATCAATGTTCACGTAATGCATGATGATTACATAAACTCACATATTCACGTCTGCATGGTTGTAAAATATCGCAGTCGTCTGTTTACGGCGCATATTCTATTGTTTCGCATCCGAATGTTTACACCGACGAGGGCGACTACCACTTTATAGCGTATATCGATCATCGATTTCTGGTTCGTATCATAGTTCCTGAAACACGTATCCACAGCGTTATCGCATTTCAAGATACAATAGAGCGTGATGTTTGATACTTTGTATATTGAATCACAACACCATATCCGCGAAATAACAACAAACTTTAATCACGAACGAATCGTTTTGTTCATATATTAAACATTATCTTTATATTTATTAATTACCTACATTCAATCTGCAGCTGTCTCTGCCTGTACTAGTGATAAAAAATATCGAAAAAATTGCAATCTCAACGCACACAATACTTATAATTTTATATAAATACTCGCGAGATTAAAATAATAAGTTTTGAGAATAATTTTTATTGATAAATCAAATATTTAATATGATGTTTGAGCTAAATATATCAGCTGTGTCGAATGTAACGCAAATAATTATAAAATCCTAATCTCGTGCAAATTATAATTTTAATTAATTCCCTGTTGAGGTAAAGACATAACTAATTATTTAGCTCTCGCAACCGTGATACACCGTTACACAAATATAATATCGATAAAAATCATTCATCAGAAATATGCCAAAGGGAAAAAAAGAAAAAAAGATATACCTAAAAGTGATTATCGATGAAACAACAATAACGACGTTGAATATTAGGAACTTTATAACGGGTGTCGATACCTAAATTACATTGACTATTCTGCAAAACGTGACTCGTTAAGAAACATCTACGATGCTCATACAGATGTTTCAGTACACACAAAAAATTTAAGTTATATATAGTTAGACTGATACTTAAACATTGAACCGAACGTTCTCACATGTATACGAGTTTCCGGCTCAACATCCATTATTATTCGCACGCGTGCGTTTCTTTATTAATGTGAAGGCACTAGGATTGCACAGAAAAGAACTGTTTTGCTATTTTGCCTGATTTTCATTTGTAGCAAATAAAAGAATGCTTAACAACGTCATTCAAAGAAATAAATATCATGTATTAAATTGCTCTCCTTCATATTTACAGTAGGATGCTCGTGGAAGTGCGTTTATCGCCGAGGTGTCGATAACTATACAGCTGCCAGCAACCACAGTTCTTACCCTGTATTTATCCATAATCGCATCGCGTGTACACACGCGTGACGTGCCGTGCACGCGTGTACACGTTCTCTACACGCGCTATTTCTCATCGGACAGACATTCCGCACGCGATAATTGTCCCCGGTCGTTTCCGTCGCAACGACGATCATTGGGTCGCATTAACCGTTAATGTTAACATAACCGATCTCGATCGCGGTGAATGGATCGTAAAGTCAATTACGCGCGCGGTTACGACCGAATCCCAGCTCCGCGCCGCCGTCACCGCCACCGCCACCGCATCGGCAAGCTCGTTTTGCTCCTGCATCCTTTTCGATTTGCCGAGTAATAATTTCCCGAGCACACGCAATGCACAACGCACACAGCAGCGAGGAAGAAAGGGCTACGATCAAATGGAATAATCCAAAGATTATACCGTGCTTGAGTGAAACGGTAAATTTCAACGTGTCTAGTGTCATTGGCCGATCAATGCGCGGTTAATTATCGCGTTTATATTTCATAATAACCATAATTGTGCCGTGCGCAATACGATCGATACGAGATTTCTATATTGTATCGTGGGTAATTTTATGTGAAGGAACTGTGGATGGGGTATAACGGTACGGTATCGTAATCGAATCATATAAAAATGAATTAATGATGCAATCTACTCTTTCATCAAATCGATACCGTGATACTTTCCTTTCTATTCTGTTTTAACGAGTTTGCGATGTATTAATATATACGCAGGATACATTATCTATGAGATTAACGAATTTATGAGATTGTTGCGACATCAGCGTAATGACGTGTGCTTATTACTATTCTTATAATGTAGTTTATCCAG